GCGATTGAACCGAGAAACAAATTTAATTAACCAAAAATTTCCGGTGCCATCTATTTACATCATAAATTGGATTTTTTTTTAATAATGTCATATATCAATGGATAAGGTGAGATCAAATTTACGGAAAGGATGCATATTTGTAAAGTTGGTTAAGAGAATAAAAGTTATCTAATTGTTACAGCTTGAATTTTAAAAGAACATAAATCCCTAGAATTTGGGAAAAAATTATCTGTGATTTGATCAACCAAGAAATAGTTTGTAAGAAGAATACAAATAGAAGCTTTCTAAATTTTTTCAACACACAGCCAACTCTTCACAAAAACCCAAAACAAGTTTCTACATTTTTAGATCATTTTTTTAGCTTTCAAATTCATTTTTCAGTACAGTACTTTGTAGAATTTAGATTGTTGATTATCTGGTTTTCACTTCTTCAATTGTGTTTGATGTAATGGATAACAAGTATTCTAATTTCTGCAAGATACAATTTCTTTTCTGATTATTATTTATTTTGATGTTCATGGCATTCACACCTTTATCTTGTTTTGTTTTTCATATGAGTTTAATCCTTATCCGTACATGCTTTTCAATTAATTAGTTTTTAAATTTCCAAATCTAGGATATGTTAATTTGCGAATATGTTTATAAACATAAATTAATTTGGTTTTGAGTATGGTAGATTTAATTAAGATGTAGTTGTTTATTGTGAGTCAATTTTAATTTGCATTTCACTTAGTTCATTTAGGATCTATTAATTTTAAATTCATGGTATTGGTAAAATCCTTAAGATTATCCAAGGCAGATTCATTCTGCAGGAAGGTATCTCTCCCTCTTACAAATCGTCTGAAGGGTGCAAAACTTAATTTTGAACTAACGTTCTTCCAGCCATTGGAAGGGTTGTTGGGAGAATCCTTTTTTATGCTTTTCATAAAAGTAAGTGGCACGCCTACATCTAAATTTTGCACGTGCGAAGTCACTCAGGTGATTTTCGATGAAATTCCATCTTTAAAATTGAATTTGAATCTAATTATAATTTGGAATTTTGGTTTGATTATTAATATTTATTTGTTTGTGTTTACACTAAAAATAACACCTAATCTAAAGATGGAAAGTGTTAA